TTAAAATGATATTACCATTATCCTTAATTTCTTACTTTAAATAAAGGAGAGATTACAAGTAGATGTTGTTAACATGTTTGTAAATCTCATAAATAACTTGAATTGAGAGTGGTAACTTTTTGCCAGTATCATGTTGATAGGGCGAATCAACTTTCCACAACTTTGTGCTTATCAATTATCAATAACAGCGACAGGTAGGTAGGATTCTGCGAAAAATTTCAATTCCACGCGTTATGGCAATCTATACATATTGTCATCCTCATATTATTATGGGTGCGAGCCCTTGTCGTTATCTACATTATTTCATTGTATTCAAAATAGAACAACCATTTTTCTGAAAGAGTTCACAAACCATTTTTCTTAGAAACAGAAGGAAGATTTGTGGAGAAGATTTGAAGATCGAGAGCATTGTGCGTAGTTAGGAAGAGATTCTTTGGTGAATTTTGAGCTCCATGGCTAGATTTGGTGCGAAATGGAGGGGATTCAGATCGGTGGCGATGAATTTGTGCAGCTTTGCTTTGGCATTTGCGTTAGTTTCAGCTGAGAAAAGCTTAAAGCGTGAAGCGGAGAGACTGAATGGAGCCGATGAATCTGAATCGAATTATCTACTCAGAGCTGTTAATTTCTTGTGGCAATCTGATCGATCCGGATATCAACATGTTTGGCCGGTAAGTTGTACACATTCAGTTTTGCTTTTGCCCAATGCTATTATTGTCTGATTAGATTTTTTTAAGTTTCTGATTTTACTGTTTTTATGAATTCAAAAAGTTTGAGATTCCATTATAGCTGTTTGTTTGAATTTATAATTCAATTTCGAATTCCATTGTTTTTGTCAAGCTCGTTTGGAACCACCATTGTATTATTTAAAGAAAGGAAGAAAAGGTTGAATACCTGATTTCTTTTTACTTTTGGTGATTCTTGTCTCAGGTAAAGTATTAAATTACAGGTTTATGCTGGCTTGTAAGATTCACACTATTCTTTCAAGTGTGCTTGGGTAGATTGATTGATTGATATGGATGTTAAAATGTTTATGACTGTTGTTTCTTTACAGGAAATGAAATTTGGTTGGCAAATTGTCCTTGGAAGTATTGTTGGATTCTTCGGAGCCGCATTTGGTAGTGTAGGAGGAGTTGGTGGTGGCGGCATTTTTGTTCCCATGCTTAGCTTGATCATTGGGTTTGATCCAAAGTCTGCAACAGCTATATCAAAATGTAAGACAAATTAATCTTTGTGAAAAATAAAGTGGGGATCATATTTGGACTAATGACCATTGGTTAGGAATAGTAAAATTTAGGAAGAGAATGAAAGTTATTGTCAAGAACTAAAAGAAAATTAGAAAATGAAACTAGAATTGTTTAAATCGTATTTTGCTTGACAGTTTCCGTGAAATTGGAAAGTACTGTAATTGTACAAAATTGTAGACCCATTCACGTTGAGCGGAAATGATAATGACTAGCCCATTATTCACATCAAGGAAGGATGATCATTCCAACTTGCTATATGATTTCATGTGTTATTCTCTGTTTTTGTTAGGTATGATTATGGGTGCAGCAATTTCAACTGTTTACTATAACCTTAAGCTAAGGCATCCTACAATTGATATGCCTATCATTGATTATGATTTGGCTCTGCTCATTCAGCCCATGCTCATGCTGGGTATTAGCATTGGTGTCGCTTTCAATGTGGTATTTGCTGACTGGATGGTCACGGTTTTACTTATTATTCTCTTTATAGGTAATGAATGTAAAGTTCAAGTTGTAACTTCTGGCATTCCCTTTGAATCAAACTCATTTGTTAGTTGGTGGTGGTTTGCAGGAACATCAACAAAAGCATTCTTGAAGGGTGTTGAGACTTGGAAAAAGGAAACCATAATGAAAAAGGTGATCTTGTTTACATATTATACTGAGTTTGGACTTTGTAGACATATAAATTGCATTTACCATTCCAATACAACTTACAATGCAAGTCCTCCCACGTCATTTGAGAAAAGTTGTTAAAATTTAGTTTTAGCTGAACGCTACTCATCTTTGTTTTCAGGAGGCTGCTAAGCAAATGGAATCAAATGGTAACTACACTTGCTGTTCCTTCAACTCAGATAGACCATTAAGTAATATTTCTTCATGATTTCGCCTCTGAAATAGTCCATTTATATCTCCAATGACATCCATCAGGTAATTCTAGTGCGGATGTGGAGTATAAGCCCCTTCCTGGTGGCCCAACCAATGGCCCACTAAAAGATGCCAAGGACTGTGAAGTGAGTCCACTCTAATCTGCTGTTATTCAGTATCAAATAGTTGTCAACACTAATGTAAAGCAATTGTGCAGGTCACTGTGTTTGAGAATGTTTACTGGAAGGAATTTGGACTGCTTGTTTTTGTTTGGGTTGCATTTCTTGTACTGCAGATTGTGAAGGTTGTGATCCTCTTTGTCTTTTATAAGATTCAATCATTTTCAGAATGAGTGTAATTATTGAGGTAAACTGATTAAAGATGACTTGTGGCCACAGAATCATACAGCTACCTGTTCAACAGCATATTGGGTATTGAACTTGCTACAGGTAAATTTTATCATTTTCTTTTGCCTCCATGTAACATGTTTTTGTTTAAAATTGTAACTAGCCTGATGAAGACATGGTTTCTGAAAGTTGTAACAATTGCCTATGATCTTCATAATGAGTGTTTACTTGAAATTCCTCCTGTTTTTCAGATCCCAGTTTCTCTTGGGGTATCTGGATATGAGGCAATAAGTCTGTACAAGGGTCGGAGGATAATTGCATCCAAGGGAGAGGATGGCACAAGTTTCCGAGTGTTTCAGCTTGTTAGCTACTGCACTTTTGGGGTACTGGCCGGAATTGTTGGTGGTCTGCTTGGTCTAGGTGGAGGATTTATCATGGGTCCTCTGTTCTTGGAGCTGGGGGTCCCTCCTCAGGTGAGCTTCCTCCATTCTTGGATTCAAAAAAAAGGGGAAATAAATCAGAATTTGTGTATCAATTTCAAATTTAGAGCACTTCATGGACCAGAAGCAGCAATTTATGTGCTTGATATTGCCTTATGGTTGATTGCAATAGCACATCAAGGAGACTGATATTCTTCCTTCATGTTTACTCTGACATTGCTGAAGTGCTAATGTACAGAGTGCAGATCTGAAAAATTCAATTTGTGCCTTGGCCTCACCATTGAGGAAGACACATTTCTGGATTAACATAAAGATAAAAGTTTTAAAAGAATTAATAAATAATGAGAAGAAAGTAGCTTTGATGTCCTAGATATGTTTTCAAACTACCAACAACATTGGACGATACAGTTAGAGTTATTGTGAAATGTGTAGTGGTCTAGCATAGTAAGTGTTAACATATAAGAATACAAGTATATAAGTGAACACATGTTCCTCTGACATTTTATAATCTTCCACTTCATTCATTATTCAATTGGGTTTTAACTAGTGGCTAATTTGCAGGTCTCAAGTGCTACTGCCACCTTTGCCATGACATTCTCCTCATCAATGTCTGTTGTAGAATATTATCTTCTGAAACGTTTTCCAGTACCATACGGTAAGTTTGTGGCTCAATGCACCCATGTTATTTTCCTAACATCTTAAAGAAAACATCCCTGACTTTATAGCAGTATAATGTAATTTTAGCTCTAAGTTGGGGCTATGTTTTGTCTAAAATCTTAGTGGCCTTAAATGTTTCATACATTATTTGGCAGCTCTCTACTTCACTGCTGTGGCTACTGTTGCTGCTGTTATTGGGCAGCATGTTGTGAGAAAGATGATCATTATGCTTGGAAGGGCATCGCTCATCATCTTCATCTTAGCCTTCACAATTTTTGTTAGTGCAATATCACTAGGTGAGAATTGATATCCTCTGTTTTTTAGTCTGGTGAAAAACTTAAGTTTTGGCGAACTCCACACAAACTGAAATTATTTTGGTTGTGTTTGGTAGGTGGTGTCGGCATATCAAACATGATTGGCAAGATCCATCAGGGTGAATACATGGGATTTGAGAACCTCTGCAAGTACGATGTCTAGCATGTTTCTTCGTTTTCCTTCTTTCCTTTTAATCCCATTCATGTTGTTGTAACTTACAGCTGTTCTTAGGCAAAAGTAAATGCCTTTTGTTTGTATCATTTTTTGGGTTGCTGGAATGAAAGCACCTCAATGATTGTCTAGAAATTGGAAAAAACTTCTCTTTCCAACTTATGAATTTCCTTTTTGTTATAACAAGTTGATTTTTATTACCAACTAAATTAACCATTGGAACATTTTTATGTGTATAAACTGCGTTTTATAAAATGGTGTTTCCAAAATGACAATCCTTATTCACTTGTAATTTACAAAAACAATCAAAATTAATTGATTTTTAATTAATCAAGAGATTTAGAATTTGCTTGTCCTATATGATGCCTTATACAGTTAATTTTTGTTGCACACAAGTTATATTTATAATAGATATTAATTTTTTTTCTTAAATCTTTTCCATCTATCTTAAAAAGTAAAACGTTTAAGTTTTTAATTATATATTTTTGAAACTTTATATCTAATTATCTAATAATAATTTAATCATAAGTTATATGATATATGTGAATATTATTTTATTATCAATCTTATACAAATTACATTTTACTTCTCTAATAATATATAACATGAGATAACCTCATTTTTTATCAAATTTATTTTAATTTGATTTAAAATTCAAAGCTAAAAGACAATTTTTTAATTTATAATTTTAAACTTTATTTTGTGAAATATTTGAAATAATTGTTTATACCTAGAGTCTAATAAACTTCTATCTTTGTAATTTTCATGTTATGTTAATAAAATTTTGAATTCTATCAAAACATTAAAAAAAAAAAAAAAATGGAAAAGAAGAAGAAAGGTTGAATTTGTTCTTCTAATACAAAAAAGGCAGACTAACAAGTTCACCAACAAGTTCTTGTATCAAAAAAATGAAATTCAGAAAGTATTCCAAGCAAGGAGCCAAGAACTACAGATTAGATAAAAACGCAAATGCGAAAGAGCGTCTAAGAAATTTGAAAATGCTATGTTAGGCCCCCGAAATTAACAAGGTCGATCAGAAAGGGGGAAAACGGAACCCCAAATTGCGTCTCGGGTCTTTGGAGAAGAACGAAGAAAGCGAAAATGAAAATGGTGTTCTACTTCAAAGCTCGACCTCCGAGGCTGGTGATTACACCATTTTCATGGGCATCGACAAACATGAGAACGAGGAACTCATAAAGTACGGTTTGGACATTTGGCACTTTCTTTGCCCCCATACTTCCTAATTTTTTGCTTAATGTTCAGATTATGAAGTTATTGTTTTCAATTACCCTGTGGTTGGTGACGGAGAAAATTGAAGAAACAAAGCATAATATGAAACCTTTTTCTTTGTTATTGGATGCCACTTAGCTGTTGAATTAATCGGAATTTTAGGGGGGGATGTTGTTTCTGTATTAGGATGTCCTGTTATTACCAAAGACCAATTTCACCATAGATTTTTCATTGATTTCAGGCTTCATGTGGACAAAATGTCATCTGCCCATGCATTTTGTTATTATTGCTTGAAGCATACAGACATAGTCATGTCTAAAATAAGCAAAACTAGAGATGTAAAATGGCCAGGAAGTGAGATATGTGATATTAAGTGACACAGACAAGTCTACCTCAAAAAGTTGTGTGCTACATTGTTTCTACATTGGTTTCTCTTGTCCATAAAAGAAGACATCCAAATTAGCTAGCTATGAAGAGTTGGTGTTACTTTTTGGCGGGTGTTTTAGGCAGCCTAGCTACCATTACTAAGTTTTGTAAGCTGGTCATCTATTTTCAGCTCGTTGGAAGTAGTTTTGACTTCTCCATGAGAATCCCAAGGGCATTGTGATTTATCTTCAGTAGCTTAATTTGAAATTTGATTTTTAAAAATTATTTAAGTAGTAGTTAATGTGGTCTAAAACCTCAAGGCTCCACTTTGTTGACCTGTCTCATAATGAACATCTCTACTTTTCCCTTTTGCTTGTGTGGTGAGGGGGGACCGAGGATTGATGAGGGAGCACATGGGCTCAGAAGCATGAGTTAAAACATGTCCACATTGCTTGACCTTTTCAGTGTGCACTTTGAGTATGATCCATCCACCCATATTCACACGCCCTTATTGCTAAAAGGCTAATGTATCTCCAAAGTTCATTATCTTTTCTCCAAGATTCATTGTTTAAAATATATAGTAATATTCGGAGGACTGCTTTTCTAGTTACTTTATGTATTAGCCAATGTTTTTCCCCGTAATTAACAAATTTTAGGAAGAGGGGATGGAAAATTTAACCCCTAAAGACTATGAAAGATGGTCCGACCAATTGAATCATGAGTAAACCCTTAACTTATCAAAACATGAAAAGTTAACGAAGATAATTTGTCGATTCTAAAAGATGAATTTAGTTTAATACAAAAAAAGTAACTTGCACCTTGACCAAGCAGTGTTTGTAAATCTTTTACAACCTATTTGATTATAACCAACTAAATTATTTTGTTGACACAATAACTTCATTTAATTAGTCAAGAAGTTTCTAATTCAGTCATGAATAATTTGTCTTTGACTTATAATTTAATCATAAAAAAAGGTAAAGCAAACTTTTGTATATAATGCCCAATTAAAAAAAAAAACTTTTGAATCTAATTATTCCACGGTAACAAATTACGTAAGATTTCATTGGTTGAATTGATATGAGCATTATTTTTGGTAATATCATGAAGATAAGGGCGTTAGCTTTCTACTAGTGCTTATCAATTATCAATAACAGTGACAGCTTGGTACGATTCCATGCATTATAGCAATCTATACGCATGCTCATTATTGTGAGTGGGAAGCCTTGTCGTTTTACACATTATTTGATTGTCTAAAGTAAAACAACCATTTTTCTAAGAAAGAAGGAAGATTTGTGAAGAAGATTTGAAGATTGAGAGCATTGTACAGGGTTAGGGAGAGATTCTTTGGTGAATTTTGAGCTCCATGGCTAGATTTGGTTTGAAATGGAGGGGATTCAGATTGGGAGCGATGAATTTGTGCAGCTTTGCTTTGGCTTTTGCTTTAGTTTCAGCTGAGAGAAGCGTAAAGTGTGAAGCGGAGAGACTGAATGGAGCTGAAGAATCTGGATTGAATTATCTACTCAGAGCTGTTAATTTCTTGTGGCAATCTGATCAATTGGGATATCAACATGTTTGGCCTGTAAGTTGTACACATTCGGTTTCTCTTTTGCCAAATGCTTTGTCTGATTATATGAATTCAAAATTTTGAAATTCTGTTGTAGCTGTTTGTTGGAATTTATAGTTCAATTTTGGATTCCATTGTATTTGTCGAGCTCATTGAAATCACCATTAAATTATTTAAAGGAAGAGGTTGAATACCTGATTTCTTTTACCTTTGGTGATTCTTGTCTCAGGGGAAGTATTAAATTACACTTTTTTGTGCTGGCTTGTAAGATTCACTCCATTCTGTCATCTGTGCTTGGGTGGATTGATTGATTGATATAGACGTTAGAATGTTTATGACGGGTGTTTCTTTTCAGGAAATGAAATTCCGTTGGCAAATTGTCCATGGTAGTATTGTTGGATTCTTCAGAGCTGCATTTGGGAGTGTAGGAGGAGTTGGTGGTGGCGGCATTTTTGTCCCCATGCTTAGCTTGATCACTGGGTTTGATCCAAAGTCCACAACAGCTATATCAAAATGTAAGACAAATTAATTTTGGAAAAATAAAGTGGGGATCCTATTTGGACTAATGAAGTATTAATTAGGAATCCTAAAATTTAGGAAGAGAATGAGAGTTATTGTTAGGAACAAAAAGAAAAATAGAAAATGAAACTAGAATCGTTAAAATTCTATTTTGCTTGATTGAGTGAAAAGTTGAGTTTCCATGTGATTGGAAAGTACTTGTACAAAATTGTAGACCCTTTCATGTTGAATGGAAATAGGAATGACTAGGCCATTACTTGTTTGAGAAATTCATGTCATGGAAGGGTGATCATTCCAACATGTTATATGATTTCATGCATTGCTTTATGTTTTTGTTAGGTATGATAATGGGTGTGGTGGCTACAACTGTTTACTACAACCTTAAGCTAAGGCATCCTACACTTGATCTGCCTATCATTGATTATGATTCGGCTCTGCTCATTCAACCGATGCTCATGCTGGGTATTAGCATTGGTGTCACTTTCAATGTGATATTTGCTGACTGGATGGTCACGGTTTTACTTATTGTTCTCTCTATAGGTAATGAATGTTAAGTTCAAGTTGTAATTTTCTGGATATTCTCTGAGTCAATCTCATTTGTCAGTTGGTGGTGGTTTGCAGGAACGTCAATAAAAGCATTCTTGAAGGGTGTTGAGGCATGGAAAAAGGAAACCATAATGAAAAAGGTTATCTTGTTCACTAATATACATATTATGCAGAGTTTGGACCTTGGAGACATATAAATGGCATTCATCATTCCAATACAACTTACAATGCAAGTCCTCTCACATCGTTTGAGAAAAGTTGTTAAATTTTAGTTTTAACTGAAAGCTACTCGTCTTTGATTTCAGGAGGCTGCTAAGTGGATGGAATCAAGTGGTAACTACACTTGCTGTTCCTTCAATTCACAGACCATAAAGTAATCTTTCTTCATGATTTCCCCTCTGAAATAATCGATTTATATGTCCAAATGGAATCCATCAGGTACTTCTAGTGCGGATGTGGAGTACAAGCCCCTTGCTGGCAGCCCAACCAATGGCCCACAAAAAGATGCCCTGGACTTGAAGTGAGTGCAGTCTAATCTGCTGTTATTCGGTGTCAACTATCAAATAGTTGTCAATGCTAATGTAAAGCAATTGTGCAGGTCACTGTGTTTGAGAATGTTTACTGGAAGGAATTTGAACTACTTGTTTTGTTTGGGTTGCATATCTTGTGCTGCAGATTGTTGAGGTTGTGATCCTTTTTGTCTTTTATAGGATTCAAATATTTTCAGAATTGACTGTAATTATTGAGGTTAACTGATTAAAGATGACTTTTGGTCACAGAATCATACAGCTACCTGTTCAACAGCATTTTGGGTACTGAACTTGCTACAGGTAAATTTTATCATTTTCTTTTACCTCCATGTAACTTGTTTTTGTTTAAAATTGTAACTAGCCTGATGAAGACATGGCTTCTGAAAGTTGTAACATTTGAGTATGATCTTCATAATGAGTGTTTTCTTGAAATTCCTCCTGTTTTTTAGATACCAGTTTCTCTTGGGGTATCTGGATTTGTGGCAGTTAGTCTCTTCAAGGGCTGGAGAGTAATTCCATACAAGGGAGAGGATGACACAAATTTCCGTGTTTCAGCTTGTTAGCTACTGCACTTGCGGGATCCTGGCTGGAATTGTTGGTGGTCTGCTTGGTCTAGGTGGAGGATTTATCATGGGTCCTCTGTTCTTGGAGCTGGGGATCCCTCCCCAGGTAAGCTTCCTCCACTTATAGATTCATAAAAGTGAAATAAATCAGTAAATTTGTGCATCAAGTTTAAATTTAAAGCACTTCATGGACAAGAAGCAGCAATTTATATGCTTGATATTGCCTTATGGTTGATTACAATAGCACATCATGGAGACTGATATTCTCCCTTCACAGTTACTTTGTGGCTGCTGAAGTACAATGTGCAGAGTGCAGATCTGAAAAATTGTATATGTGTCTCAGCCTAACCATTGAGGAAGACACATTTCTGGATAAACATAAAGATACAAAAAGTTTTAAAGAATTATTAAATAATGATAAGGAAGTAGCTTTGACGCACTAGATATATTTTCAAACCACCAACATCATTGGAGGATACAGTTATAGTTATTGTGAAATGTTTAGTGGTCTAGCATGGTAAGTGGTAACATAAAAGATTACAAGTATATAAGTGGAACACATATTCCTCTGACATTTTATTATCTTCCATTCCATTCATTATTCTATTGTATTTTTAACTAGTGGCTAATTTGCAGGTTGCAAGTGCTACTGCCACCTTTGGCATGACATTCTCCTCATCAATGTCTGTTGTAGAATATTATCTTCTGAAACGTTTTCCAGTACCCTATGGTAAATTTGTGGATCAATACACCCATGTTATTTTCCTAACATCATAAAAAACACCCCTGACTTTACAGCAGTATAATGTAATTTTTAGCTCTAAGTTGGAGCTATGTTTTGTCTAAATTTTAGTGGCCTTAAATGTATCATACATTATTTGGCAGCTCTCTTCTTCACTGTTGTGGCAACTGTTGCTGCTTTTATTGGGCAGCATATTGTGAGAAAGTTTACCATTATGTTCGGAAGGGCATCACTCATAATCTTCATCTTAGCCTTCACAATATTTGTTAGTGCAATATCACTAGGTGAAGAACTGATATTCTCTGTTTTGCAGTCTGTAGAAATACACTTAACTGTACTTAAGTTTTATCGAACTCCACACAAACTGAAAACATTTTGGTCGTGTTTGTTAGGTGGTGTCGGCATATCAAACATGATTGGCAAGATCCATCGGGGTGAATACATGGGATTCGAGAACCTCTGTAATTACGATGCCTAGCATGTTTTCATTGTTTTCCTTCGTTTCTTTATTTCATTCATGTTGTTGTAACTTGTAGCTGTTCTAGGGGAAATGTTTGTATCATTTTTCTGGGTTGGTTGAACAAAAGCATCGCAATGATTGTATAGAAATAGGAAGGGAATGCTCTTTGCAATTTATGAATTTCCTTTTGATAACAAGTTGATTTTTTTTACAAATTAACCTGTTAAACCATCAACCATGTGATTTGATAATTTGGTAATAGAGTAATTTATGCACTTAGCCTCTTAATCTCTAGGTACAAGGCAAAAAAAAAAAGAAAAAAACCCTCTTGAACATATTTATGTGTATAAACCTGTATTTGTTTATTTGTTTGATATTCATAAACCTCAATTTTATAGCAAAAATGTCTAAATTTATTTCTAAAGTTAAGTAGTAAAAACATGTCTATTTTTAAATAAAAAAAAGATAAATTTACTCATAAAACTTTCAATTAGGAGAAATTATTTTACATTTAACAAATGATGTTAGATGATATTAATAATACATTAACTTATTAATATTAATTCACTAATAAATTTATTATTAACAAATTGTTGAAATTAACTATGAATTTCGACATTTTGACTATTTTATAATATGGTGTCCCCAAAATAACAATCCTTATTAATCATAATTTATAAAATCAATCAAAATTAAATGATTTTAAATTAATCAAGAGATTTAGAATTTGCTTTTCATAAATGATTCCTTCTACATGTTATTTTTGTTGTAGATTTAATGTTGGGTTATATATGATAGGTGGTAATTTTTTTCTTCCTCACCCTCTCCCACCTTTATACGAAGATTTAAATTTTCAACTAAATAAAATTTTGAAACTTTATATCTATTATCTAATAATTTAATTATAAATTATATGATATATAATACGAGATAACTTTATCTTTTATCAAGTTTATTTTAATTTGTTCAAAATTCAAAGGTAAAGAGACAATTTTTTTAAGTATATTTACCCCTTCACTTTATTCGTGAAATGTTAAAATAATTTGTTTGTAGCTACAGTCTAATATATGCTCTCACTTTTATTTTTGTGACTTAGTTGCTGGGTAAATGAAATTTTAATTCTATCAAAACAAAAAATAAAATAAAATATTTAAATTGATCTATTGGGATTCATTTTTGACCATTTTAATTATATATTAAAAATGTAATTTAATTTATAAAATTAAATATTTTAAATAAAATAATATAAAAATTAATTTTATTAAAAATAGTTTAATAAACTTATAAATTAAACTACAATTTTTTTTAAGTGCAATCCGACCAATATGTTCTTTTAAGTTTTCACATAAAAAGGCAGACAGCTTGTTGTTAAAAAAAGGAAATTTCAAAAGGTATTCTAAGCAAAAAGCCAAGAGCAATAGTTTAGGTAAAACCCGTTATTTGGAAACGGTGGTGCTAGGCAGACAGCTTATTGTTAAAAAAGGGAAATTTAAAAAAGTATTCTAAGCAAAATGCCAAGAGCGATAGTCTGGGTAAAACGCGTTATTTGGAAATGGTGGTGCTTTAGAGTTTAGAGTCTCTTTTTTTAAGCGTAAACGAGGAATGTATTTAATATTATAAATATTGTATAAATAAAAAATTAATTATTTAAATAATATATATAATTATACCAAAAAAATAAAAAAAAATCATCTAAAAATCATTTTTCATTTGAAAAAAAAGCATATCAGCATATGCCAAACAGCCTCCAAGAAATTTGAAAATAGAAATATGCTTCGTCATTAATGTATCACCCATAATTGCACTCTAAATTAACAACGTCGATCATAAAGGGGAAAAAGAAACCCTAAATTGCGTCTCAGGTCTTTGGAGAAGAACAAAGGAAGCGGAAATGGTGTTCTACTTCACAGCTCGCCCCGAGGCTGGCGATTACACCATCTTCATGGGCATCGACAAACATGAGAACGAGGAGCTCATCAAGTACGGTTTCCCTGAAGATATTTGGTACTCTCTTTGCCCCTGTCCTTCCCAATTTCTTGCTTGATTTTCAGATTGTGAAGTTGTTGTTTTCAATTACCCTGTGGTTTGGTTACTGAGAAAATTGAAGAAAAAAGGCTTAATATGAAGCGTTTTTCTTTGATATTGGATGCTGCTTAGCTTTTGAATTCTAGGGCAGGATGTTGTTTCTGCATTAGGGTGTCCTGGTATTGCCAAGAACCAATTTCACAATAGATTTTTCGTTGATTTCAGGTTTCATGTGGACAAAATGTCGTCTGCCCATGTTTATCTGAGACTTAACAAAGGGCAGACTATTGATGATATAAGTGAAGGTTTGCTTGAGGATTGTGCTCAGCTGGTCAAAGCGAATTCTATCCAAGGTATAAAAATTGGGTTTGTGTTTGTGCGTTATTTTACATTCATCAAGATTTTAGGTTTGACGTTATTGGGGATGGGCTTAGCCAGCCAAAGTTCATATTGCCAACATGTTTTCATGGATAGGCAGTTAGCTTTATCTTTTTACCTTTATGTCTCCTTGTTCATCTAACACATGACAGTATTTGTGACTTGTTGAATATCATGTGACAGGCAACAAAGTGAACAATGTTGATGTTGTTTACACTCCCTGGTCCAATTTGAAGAAAACTGCCTCCATGGATGTTGGCCAAGTTGGCTTTCACAACTCAAAGATGGTAAGTTCTTTATGAATTGCACTTTTTCTGTGCTTATCTCCAGGGAGGACCAAGACAGCATTGACTGTTGACATTTGTCTAATTTATTTTGGAATTTAGGTGAGGACTGTGAAGGTGGAGAAGCGGATAAATGAGATAGTCAACAGATTGAACAGGACAAAAGTGGAACGAAAACCTGATTTGAAGGGTA